CCAAACTTTTTTTTCAGTTATGGATAGAGTAAGGGAGGATTATAACACGTCAGCTTTTTTTGCCCTGTGTCCCAATGGAGAGATTTCCCTTCACTTCCTGTCTGATAGTTACAACAGGAAATGAGAGGGCATCTCTCCAAAGACAGGGAAATCCCTGCTTGTCACCAGAACTATGTTCTGTTCTGATGCCAACCCAAAATGTGGGATTTACTTTCACTTTCAGAGATAACGGTCACCAGGTTATCTATTCCCTCTCCCTCTTTTAGTTTCAGTTGCATTTTAAGCTAGGCTGCCTAGGATTCTATCACCTTTTGGCAAAAAAAAAATTAGAAATCTTCTTGCGTTTTGTTGCCCCCCCCCCAAAAAAAAAAATTGTAGGGCACAGAAGAAGGAGCCAAGTGGAAAATTGCCATCCAGACAGTGACTGCAGCTGATCAGATGCAGTCACGGTTCAGGTTTCTCACAGCGGCTGGTGCCAGCTGTCTGAATGCAGTAGCCTGACAGCTGAGATTTCTCCATCTGCGCGGTTTAGTGTGGATGGAGGAATCTGTGAAATCAAAAATCAATGACACATCAAAGTCAAGGCTGGCTGAAGACGCAGCTATAAGGGTATGTACACAAATCTCACCATTTACATGAGTGAGGGGAAATCTGCAACAGAGACACATTGGGGGCGGGGCCTCTTTCAGATTTATTTCATTGCCGTCTGGGTACCTGTCACCTATTTTCATAGTATTTGAGGTTGAATAAAGACATTAGTCCATCAAGTCCAAACTTCCTGTTTGGTGAAACTGTTTTTACCATGACAGTTAGTGAGGTAAACGTTTCAAACCAAGCCATGGATAGAAGTAAAAAAAAATGACAGAGGGTATACTCCCCTTTCCCAATCCAAGCAAAAGTACAAGAAAAAAACGTTTTGGTTTTCCTCACTTTCCTACATATCTGGATCATAACTAATGAAAGCTGTAGCCCAGCAGAAGCTCTTTCTTAGAACAGACCTTGTATGAGCATCCTTAATTGCTTGGGGGTAGGTATGAAGAAGTCTTGCACTCCAGAGAGGATCTCCCTAAAATAAAACAATACAGAGCAGATGTATCATGAAATTGTAGTTGTCACTCCACTTTATCTTATCAAGTAATCAGAAAGGTTTCATTTTATAGCTACTGAAGGTATAGAAAGTGACTGATATGATGATTAAAACATGTTCATTTATAGTAATTTTGTGATAAGCGAATAGCCGCACACCGAAGGATCACCTCTTAAAACAATGGTGGGCAACTCTGGCCTTCCAGCTGTGTTTTAACTACAAATCCCAACATGCCCTGGGAGTCATACATGTAACTGTTAGTCTTGCAATGTCTCATAGGGTGTGTAGTTCCACAACAGCTGGAGGGCCGGAGTGGGCCACCCTTGCAATGCCTCATGGGGTCTGTAGTTCCACAACAGCTGGAGGGCCGGAGTTGCCCACCCTTGCAACGCCTCATGGGGACTGTAATTCCACAACAGCTGGAGGGCCAGAGTTGTCCGCCCTTGCAATGCCTCATGGGCTTGTAGTTCCACAACAGCTGGAGGGCCAGAGTTGTCTGCCCTTGCAATGCCTCATGGGGCTTGTAGTGCCACAACAGCTGGAGGGCCAGAGTTGTCCGCCCTTGCAATGCCTCATGGGGCTTGTAGTGCCACAACCGCTGGAGGGCCAGAGTTGTCTGCCCTTGCAATGCCTCATGGGGCTTGTACTGCCACAACAGCTGGAGGGCCAGAGTTGTCCACCCTTGCAATGCCTCATGGGCTTGTAGTTCCACAACAGCTGGAGGGCCAGAGTTGTCTGCCCTTGCAATGCCTCATGGGGCTTGTACTGCCACAACAGCTGGAGGGCCAGAGTGGTCCGCCCTTGCAATGCCTCATGGGGCTTGTAGTGCCACAACAGCTGGAGGGCCAGAGTGGTCCGCCCTTGCAATGCCTCATGGGCTTGTAGTTCCACAACAGCTGGAGGGCCGGAGTTGCCCACCCTTGCTTAAAACGAACGTATTCAGATCCTGACATAACGCACGGTCCTGCATGTCACCCTTCTGGATTATGGCTGGGTTCACACCATTTTCCAAACCAGATCTGAAACATAGTGCATTGCGTTTTTGTCGCAATTGGATTTTTTTCTTTTTTAGCTTAAAATGGTCTTACAGGTGCATTCCATGCATTTTTGATGCATTCCAGTGCATACCAGACAAAAAGTATTTTTCTGGTCTGTAATGGACTGCGCTGGTGGGCACAGATGCCAGAAATAGCATAGGGATTCATTTGGATGCATTTTGGGTCCGGAAACAGTCTGGTCTGGAAGTAATCTGGATGTGGTGTGATAGGCCCTGAGGGATGAAATGCAGGGACTGTGCAGCATGGCGGGATCTGAATCAAGTTGGTTTTAAACGGTGATCATTCGGTATGCGGCTATGCGTTTATCACAAAGGTTTGAAGCAGACTGTGTTAGGCTGGGCACACACCTTACAACCATCGCAAGACTTTTGTCTTGCGATGGTTGTAAGGTACTTAAAAAACGTACGATCTGCCTATCTTGCATAGGCAGGTCGTACTTGCAATGATCGCAAGCCACGCCCCCTGAGGGGCGGGCTTCCGATGACCGCAATGCCGAACGGGCAGTGTGCGCTTGCTCACACCGGCCCGTACGGCTGTTATCGTACGGACATGCCACAAACCCACTGAACATCGTACGATGCTCGGCAGGTTTTCGAACATGTCCGTAAGTTTAAAGTCGTGCGACCTTACAGTAGAAGAGGTCGCATGGCTTCCACACACCTTACGATAATCGTACAATTTCCCGCGGGATTTCCCGCGATTATCGTACGATTATCGTAAGGTGTGTGGGGACCTTTAGTCACCAAACATTTTCTTTACACAGTCTGCAGGCTGAATTCTTCCATTCACACTAAACAGCAAGGATGGAGGAATCTCCCCTGATGGCTACTGTATTCTGACAGCCAGAATACATGAACAGTGACTGCAGCAGCCACTATTCGGCTGACAATTTTCCACCTGGCTCTTTCCACAAAATGTGATCAAATAAGTAACTAAATATATGGGCTGCTCTAGGTGGATGCACGAACAAAATGCTGAACACATTCATGCATACGCCAAATGTGAATTGAGTCAGGCTTCCCTATCATGTGATCACTGTGATTGGCCGTCATAGAAGTCACAGCTAGCTGATGCATATATACAGCAGCCACTACACCTATTAAAGAAGAACTCCAGGAAAATGTTTTCTTAAAGGAGAACTATGAGGTGAGTGCTTTTCACTCACCTCATAGTTCTAGCCGACCTGTGACAATGAGACTGCCACAGGTCGGCTCAGTAGATCGGGAAGTGAGCGAACACATAGCGGCGTTCGCTCACCTCTCGATCCTGTCACGGCTCTCTGCCTTGACAAGGGGAGGGGCTGGATTCCCCCCTCCCCACTCCGATCCTCCAGCGCTGACTGGCGGAACGGATGGGGGAGGGTACAGCTGGCTCTGCCTCTACATAGGCAGAGCCAGCTGTCAGTCACGCAGCTGGGCGGATCCAGACATAATTGTCGGGATCCGCTTCAGCTGCGGCGTCTCAGTATACCGCGAGTTGTAGCTCGCGGTATACTGAGCTTAGGGTGACGGGAGGACGCTAGTTTGTGTCCTCCCATTACACTTAGGAGAACTATGGAGAAAAGCCCTAACCCCATAGTTCGCCTTTAATAAACTTTTTTCCTGGAGTTCTTCTTTAGGATCTGCAATTTAAAACTCTCAGACTGGAGTTAAAACTAACCTTTAACCCCCAAAGCTGTACATACATTTTGCAATCTGACTGTACAAGAAACTGTGTAGTCTAAAGGTCACCAAACACGTTACAAATCAAACTGTACAATCGACTTTAGATTGACCAAAACTATGTAATATAAAGACTTACCTAAACTATCCAATCAGGTAAGCCCTTGTACAACATATAGTTGTTGGTAGAGCTAAAGAAGATTGTATAAAATAAAGTGGTAAAATGTGGTGAGCCATATCTGCCAGATTGGATAGAAATTGGATTTGTGATGAAGGTCCTTGTACTATTTGCTAGCAGATTGCTATGATCAGACTGTAGCATGTATAGTCCTCTTAATATAGAACAATAAGGCCCTATTCACACTTCCAGCGCACACAGCGTTTTATCAATGTCTGACATGCATCTGCATAAAGCTGCCTATTTGTTTCCACGGGCTGCCCTACATGTGGCAAAGAAGTTGTGCAGCTGTTTTTGTGCACATTTGGGGTGCCATAAACAACATTGTGAGCACACATGCAGCAAATGTGAATGTAGCCTGTTAAGGTCACCACACATGTTACAATCTGATCATACAATCTCAGTGAGATCTACTAACAAGCATGTAGTGCAGGGCCTGCCTGGTAGCATACAGACCGATTGGATGGTTTAGGTAGGTCCCCTTATTACAAACTTTTTGTAAATCTAAAGTTGATTGTAATGTGTGATCCAGATGCAGGCTGACAGCCAGGCGCCAGCACACAGATCTGATCACACAGGATGCCCCCCTATGTCTTCCCCTGACCCCAGTACAGAAAGGTGTACAGGGGCTGACATCTTCATCAGATACCTGGATGATGAATCCAGCAGCCTCTAGCTCAGTTGATAAGCCTCCACTCAGTATTCTCACTCGTTCTGCCATGACATCAATCCTCTGCACGCTCTAATGTAATAAGTATGCGATCATATCCAGTGCTCACACTGCATTCCTACAGACTATGGATCAATCATTAACATATCAGAGGAATCTGCCAAGACCCGAGCACTGGACAACTGAGATAAACTAAGCGGCGAGCATGGAGACAGACATCTAGCAGATCCCTAGGGAGGACAAACCGCCACTCAACAACCGCCACTTCCCCTACGAGACCCCATATTTCTGCTTAGTTGTAGCGAGCTCTTTAAACGGAATGAATTGTGGGAATTGTAGTCTCGCCGACCATAGCAATGCATACGATTTGCTCAAGTCCGGACTACAATTCCCAGAATCCTTCACGCCTAGCTGTGTCACTTGTTTTCTAAGCCAATGGGACGCCGCTGTCCAGGAAGTGCGGTGAGCAGAGTTTGTGTTCATGTGTTGTGTACGGAGCCGGTGAGTGATGACCATTGACCAGAGCTGATCCATTGACTAGGGCTGATCACACCGGAGGTCATCCGCACTGAAGCGTAAGAACACAATGGACTACTGGAGGGGTTAATACTCTGATATTGACAGCTTACGATCGGTATTGTGGTCTGATAACGAACGATGTCCCTGTATTGTACATGATCTAAGAGAGCTGGAGGCTGGGGGTGTATCGAAAGCTGATATGGAACACATTTACTATTATTATTAATATATATATAGGCATACAATGAAGATTTCTGCATCCTCGTCTTATTCTGTTTGTTTCAGTCTTCACCATCATCTAAGTATTGTTTATGCGGTGTCATTTGTTGATTATATGGTATGTCAAAGAATAAATGGCTTTTTTGCTGGATTTCCAGTGCCCATAAAACATTCACACACCTGATTCACCCAGTGAATCTGCATGTACATTCGATCTGTGCAAGCTAGCCAGCAAAAGCAAATTTCTCTATTTCTCTTCTGGTTGAATGTTCTTTAAGGGAGAAAATACCACATTATGGCCACTAGATGGAGCTAAGGATCATAGGAAATGAATACATGGAGGATCATAGGAAATGAATACATGTTAGTAAGGGGATACAATGTTACAATTCTGGAGGTAATGAGCCCCATTTACATCTATGCGCATTGCACCTGGTTGGGTGTCTCACTTTTGAGTGTGCTGCAGTGCCATTATTTATTACACCTAGCCATCGCATATGCATTCATCACACCACAATGCATGGGGACTTATTACCAGACGTTGTGATGTGATGCTATTTATAAAAGAGTCATGCACTTCTTTAGTGCAATTTGATGCATTAGGTAGCCCATTCAAAAGAATGGGCTGCCCTACCGCAACACAGCAAAAGACATGCTGCACTCCACGTGTGATGTCACAGGAGGCTAAATGTGACTTGATATTACTGGGGTGGCAAAGGTTACATGGATATGATCATTTCCTCCAGCGTTACTGGTTACTAACATGTATTTATTTCCTATGATCCTCAGCTCCATCTAATGACCATAAAGAGTCATCTTTTCCTAAATTAAAAAATAGCTACATTTTACTCATGGGATCCTGAGAGCAGGCTTGCACTTAGATCCGTCCCTTCCGCCTGTCTCCTACGCTGCAGTGATGATATGTCTCTCGGCGTCCTCACATCATATACACTGTGTATAGAACGTGATGACTCGGGGACCTTGGACCGCCGCATCAGAGGGGAAACAAGGTGGAAGGACCCGGTCTAAGAGCCTGCCGGCTCAGTGGATCAGGTGAGTATAACTTTATAGTTGATCCTAGACAAAGGCGAGCATTTAACCCTTGCAGTGCAGGGATAGCCCCACTACAAGGGTTAAGAATATTTTCCCCTGGAGTTCTGCTTTAAAGAACATTTCAACCAGAAGAGAAATTACACTAAGAACATTTGTTTATGCCCCATTCTCAGAGCAGCTGGGTAACACACAGAAAAAATGTACCTGCAGTTTCCCTGGACAAACAAGCTATGCATTTTTTTATAACCAGGTTTTACATAGGTGAAGAGTATTCAGCTAGATTCTGTGGGTGTAAAATGAGCCCCCCAGCTGTACCTTAAGGCTGTGCATTATATTCTTTTGTTATATCCTAATTTGGAGCAATAAATAAATAAAAATGTTCCTTCAACCCCGGTTGAAGCAGAAATATATTCCTTGGTTCTCCAGAGGATGATGAAATACAGAGGAATTCTTACCTGAATCCACTGTTCCACAATCTTCCTCCTCCTCAGTTCTGGTTGTGATGGTTGAGCCACTAAAGTCCATTCTTCTTGCCAGTCTCCAACCAGTCATGGCACCAGCACCATCATGTACATTACAGGACCCTTGGCCACCATTGGTCCAGCATTGTACTTGATAATATAGGAGTGCCTGCCTACATTGCAACGCTGGAGAAGGAAAGGACAGACTGGTGGCTTCTGGCGGTATTACATCTTCCAGTAAAATGAGCATTATATTCCCCATCAGTGTCAGTGCAGTGCCCTTATATGATCATATTCTGCTAGTACAAATCCTTCTGTGCCACGAGAATCAAATGGCATCATTCATTATTTCTGTATATATTAGATTGTTCTTTATTGAAGTCTATGTAAACCCAATATGTAACAATATAAGCTTTGCCATGTTACTATAATATCAAGTCATTTTTAAAGTGTGTGTAAGTGATAGATTATTTAGGATATCATTCTGTTGCCTACCTCGCATTTATCACAGTTTTAATCTATAATTCAACTGTGTCTTGTTGCTGCACTTCAATGTTCTCATCCCATTTTCAGCTTGTGTCCCGGTGACACCTGTTCCTTAATTGTACCCTGGTTGTCTCCCGTGGCCAGAGTGTGGGTGCACACAATAGGAGTTAGTGGTTACAGCGTGAACGGCTGTAAGTTTTAAAGACTGCACAGCGACTATGTGCAAAAAGATTTTGTATGAGTGATTCAAACATAGAGGAAATGAGCAGCAACAATAGGCATTTTACTATGAGACTTTAGTTCTACTTTAAAGAAGAACTCTGTACTGCAAGGGTTAAGTGCTCATTTTGGTCTAGGGAGGAAAACAAAAAAAGTTAGACTCACCTTATCCTTGGAGCCGGCTTGTTGTTAGACTGGTCCCTGGAGTCTCTTCCCCTCTGCTCCAGCGGCCTAAGGTCTCGTAAATAATCATGTTCTATACACAGTGTAAACGAAGTGAGGACGCTGAAGGACATTCCATTACTTCAGTGGAGGAGGAGTGAGGTAGGATGAAATGCTGTCACAGTTGGCCAGCTCCGAGGATCGGGTGAGTATAACTTTATTTTCAGCCCTAGATCAAAACAAGCAGTTACTAATAATTGTCCCTGCAGTTCTGCTTTAATCTTTTTAAATCTGCAGGCTTCATTACAGCAATTCCTGTTGATCCTGCCATTATGGTCTTTGTGCAGGCACTTCCAGTTATACCCTATAACTGGAAGTGCCTGCACAAAGACCATAATGGCAGGATCAACAGGTATTGCTGGCAATTCTCTTTTTCATGCATTGCCATTCTGTTACACAGGTTCCTCTGCGACTCTGTTACACGTTAGAGTCTACAAGTGGCAGCTTCACCACACAGTGTGTATAGATAATACATAATCCACTGTTGTCCCCATGAGTAAACCCACCCTAAGAAATTTCATGCAGCCATTGCTGGAGTGCAGTGAAGTGTAGACAGAAAGAAGTTGCAGGAGATCAGCACCACTGAGCTGCAACAAAGAATTTAAAATGTGAAAGCAAGTATTTTCTTTACAAATATAAAACCTTTATTGAAACATTTGCAGATATCTTTTACTTTATATTCTTTTCATTATTTGCAGGTAAAAACAATTGGTGTAATCAGCAAGTATGGGGGTTCAAGGACTCTGGAAGCTGCTCGAATGTTCTGGAAGACCAATAAATCCAGAGACATTAGAAGGGAAGATCCTTGCTGTCGGTATCCTTGTCAGAGAGCTTGTTCTCCGTCTTGTGTGTCTCCACAGGTCCTATAGTTATCTGCAAAAAGGCTATTTTGTTGAATGGTTAAAGTTATCTCATATAGTGCTGCACATAGATTACAGTTTTTCCTCAGTGATCCCAATTTGCTCCTTTTATTTTACTGATTTTTTTTTTTCTCCATGATGTGAAGATTCAGTTAAACAGTTAAATAGTTTAACAGATCTGTGATTGGGCAGTGTGGGAGCAGCAGCATGCTGGCACTGCTATCCCTTTGCTTTCTCTTCCTGCAAGCATGATTACAGGGCTGGACTGACAGCACATAAGTCAGCTGCATGTAGAGGGAAGCAATTCCTCAGTCACATTGCACCAACGTTATGGCATATCACAAGATGAGAGGCTGCAGCAGGGTCTGATCTGTTTCAGAGCCAAGAACTACACCGTTTCATAACTGTGCCATTGCTGAAACAACATCCTAATCCAGGACGTACATGCTGACTCTGGATGATGCTTGAACAAAGATGGCACTGTCCTTCCATAGAGAAAACTAGATGAAGGCATTCTCGGGATGGTACTGTGATGTCTGTGAGAAGTAGTAAATACACATTACTTATCATTCGTGCATTGACATGAAATATGTGTATATAGATATAAATATATATATATATA